ATAAGTCGCGCGAGGAGAGTTAAAGCCTGCCGTTTGCATTTAGGACCACTTGGGTGAGTGGTCGCGCTAGTGTGCCGCGTCGGAGTCTTTTTGTGTTCCTGTGTTTGGTTGTTTTTAAGTGAGCCGTCAGCCTGCCAGTAACTTTAACACGGACCCCTGTGCCCGCTCTAAGTCGGGGTTGGGGGCGGCGAGGCTTCGCGCAGGCGCCGTTGGGGAGGGAGGGCCCGCAGCTTTGCAGCGGGATCCGAGCAAGCTGCGTGCAAAGCGGCCGGAGCTGCTGGGCTCCCGGAGTCGGCCGCTCTTGCGGGATGGAGTGGTCAGCGGTGGTTTCCTTGCTTGTGCAAGGAGTAGCTGAGCGCTCCCCGGCTGGCGGATGCCTGGCTGCCTTCCCCGCTGCGCTCGGCCCAGGGCTCGCCCAGGATCGTAGTCACCTTCAGTGTGCAAGCCTACGCCCAGGGAAAGGAGGGAGCTCAAGGGCGAGTCTTAACACGTAGCTTTGAACAGGGAAAAAAATGCACTTTTAACAGCTCAAAAAAAAAAAAAAAAAAAAAAAAAAAAAAAAAACCCTTTAAAAACCCCTCAGTTGTCCTATAAGAAGTATATCTCGCTCAATGCTTGCGTGCGCGTTTCCAGCCTCGTTTGAGAGTTTGCAAAGTGCTCATGAGTTTGCCCTCTGCGGCAGGTGGAAGTAAACGGATTGTCTGTTAAATGTACACGCATAAAGTGAAACAGATTACAGAAGCGGCTGGGAGGAGTGGCTCCCCCGGCTGGTTCCGTTTTCAGAGGTTGAACTAGAATAATTCACAACTCAGAATTCTAATCCCGAATTAACTGGATTTATTAAGACATTACACATTCTATGTTTTTAGTACAAACGTACTGTAACCTCCCATTGGTTTTAGCGGTAGCTTCGTGGTTGGTAGGTATGGTATGGGGAAACAAATCCTTACCCAAAGAGATATTTAATCCCTTTAATTTTTTTGTTAGATACACAAGATAAAATTACTGACATTAAGCAGTAAGTCTCAGTAAAAAAAAATCTGTTTTTTTTAACGTTGTACAAGAAGCATTGTGTGGAAAAAAACCAGATAGCCTGATCATCTTGCAACAGTGATACCTTTTCTAATTCCTAAATTCTTAAAAACAAGAGTATTTTTTAAGGTCATAAAATATTCTTTATATGTGATTTTTTTCCATTTTATGCAGTTACTGTCTTTCCTTTTCACCTGTCTCTGTCTTCAGAACCAGCAGTGGATGGACTACTATTAAGTAGTAATGTAAATGGTTATAAATTATATACACCTGGGAGGCTGAGGCAGGATGAGCACCATGAGTTTGAAGCCAGCACCATCTACCTAGTGAATTCCAGGACAGCACTGGCTACAGATACCCTTAAAAAAAATAAAAATAAAAAGGGACAAAGTAAGTAATACCTCTTGCCAGATCATCTGAACTCTACTATTAACAGTAAGATATAGATATTGCTCTAACATATTAGTTACATTAATAAAAGATTTTTTAAAGTCTCTTTTGGTAGAAAGGTTTTGAGAAAGAACGTTCTACTAATTTAAACAACTTGATTGAAAACATACAAATAGAATGATGATTATGTATCATTTTACCATTTTGCAGAAGACTTTTAAATCCATTATTTCATTGATCTTTTTGTTATTTGGAAAATGAGGGACAATTATTATGTCCTTTTTTTACCCCAACATGGCCACTGAGACCTAGGTAAATGTCCCACACCTGAAATGCTGATGTCCAGGTCATGCCTTCCAAACATGCCCTTCTTGTATCGTTATATATTCTCACCAACAGTGCAGCAGTCTCTGGTTTTGTTGTCTGTATAATGTCCTTGTGTGGCTGCACTTGACATTTTCCACAGTCTCATGAAGTTGAGTATTTCTCATGTGCCTATTACTGATAGCTCTTTCACAGATGTTCAGTTCAGATTTCACGCCCATGTTTACAGTTAGGCTATTTGCTTTCTTGTTGAGTGTTGAGAGTCCTTCACCAATTCTTTGTCATAGATTAGTACTACAAATATTATTTCTTCAGCTGTTTTTCTTAGCAGTGTCTTTTTTAAACTCTTTTAATCCTTTCCTTCAGAAATGATGCTTTCTCCTTAGTCTAACAAGCTCATTTTATGTTTTTCTTTTCTGGAACTACTGACATTTTAGCTTGTAAGTATGGGCCTGTGGCCAGTTGTGAGCTAAGTTTTACATGTACTGTGAGATACGAATTGAAGTTCACCTTTTTTCAAAATATGGATCCAACATTTCTTGAAAACTACCATTTATTTGGTACCCATGTTGAAAATCATTTCACCGTATCTGAGCTACTGTTTCTAGACACTGTTCTTTCTGATGGATCGACAGTTGTCATTTTACCAGTCCCATGGTCTTAAAATCATCCAGTGTGAAATTTTTTACATGTATCATTTTTCACAGTCATTTTAACTCTTATTAGTCTTTTGATTTTACTTACCAATTTAGAATGAACTTACTGGATTTTACAAAAGATAGGGTAACATGGAAGTAAATGACTTCTTTCTGTAATGTCTATAAAAAGTCCTCTTCTAGAATATAAAACACTGTAAGTCACTCCCTTCCAAAGAAAAAAGTAACTAGATAACTGCATCAACTTGCCAATTCTCCTCAAATTGGAATTGCATTGAATCTGTAGATCAATTTGAGGGGAATTGGAGTGTTAGGAAGTTATCTAATTTTTATTCTTGCCTTTGTTTTAAGTGTTGTCTACCTTCTAAAGAACATCATGCCTTCAGTCATGTAAGTTTTCATTACACTGTTTCCAATGGCCTGTAGTAGCCCTTTTGTTAGAACTACCTTTTTGGATTTACCCTCCATGAAAGCCAAATCTCTTTTTATTTATTTGCCTACTTATTTTCGTGAGCTATAAGATAAGCAAAGCATAGCAAATAAAAGGGACACAAATAGGAAAGGAAGAGGTCAAAGTATCCTTATTTACAAATATAATGATTCTATATATTCTATACATAACGACTCCCATCAGAAAACTCATAGATTGGTTAAAACACTTTGAGCAAGTGACAGGATAAAAAGTTAACATACACAAATCTGTAGTCTTCCTATATGATAAAGAGGCATGCTGAGGAAGAGGGTGAAGAAGGTTTCCATTCACAGTCATCTAAATCCCAACAATACAACCTTGTAATAAAAGTCAATAATGAAGTGAGTGGGCTCTGTAACACAAACCTTAAAATAAGGCCTGGTGTGGTTGTACTTTTAATCCCAGTACTTTGGAGGCAGAGGCAGGTAGATTTCTGTGAGTTCAAGACTAGCCTGGTGTACATAGAGAGTTCTAGACCATGAAGGGTTACACAATGAGTCTAAAAAGCAAAACAAAAACCAAAACAACCCCTGAAGAATCCTAATGCTATGCTATGCTCTTGGGCTATAAGAATCTGTGTTATGAAATGACTGTTTTACCAAAAGCAATGCAACCCAATCTCATTCTTCACAGAAATACTTTTAAAAAGTCAAAACCCATTTGGAAATGCAAAAGCCCTCAAAGTAGCCAAACCAGTCCTGAGCAAAAATGAGGAAGGGTAGAAGGTATCACCATGTCTGATACCTAGTTACATCACAGAACCATAGTAAAAGCCAGCATGGTACTGGCACAAAATCTGAACCTATGCAGCTATATCCAAGTGATTTTTGGCAGAGATGCCAAAAGTTCTTGTTGTAGTAAAGACAGCCTCCTTAGCAAATGGGGCCCTTAGCAAATGGTAATCCACCTGCAGAAGAATGGAACCTAGATCCTAATCTCTCACCTTGAAGAAAATCAACTCCAAGTGTTGTAAAGACTTTAACATCAGACCTGGAACTCTGAAACTGCTAGCTGGAAAAGTAGGGAGAATACATCAAGGTCCGCATAGGCGCATGTGAGTACTTCCTGAATAGGACTCCAGTTACTGGGAAATAAGGCCAACAGTCTGAAGGGACACTGGAAGAGGGGATATTGTCAATTTGACAGGCTATCGAGAATTGCCTTGTGGACAAGTGTCTCAGAGTGCCTCTGAGGAAGTAACTAGGTGACATTAATGGAGGTGGAAAGACCTAGTGTAATGACATCTGAGCCCTGACATTGCCAGTTCTCAGCCTGCTAGGAGAGTACAATGTGCCCAGCTGCCTCACTCCCGCTGACTGACTTCCCTGTCATGGTCACTGTGCTTTCCGTCTGTGAACCACACAAGCCAGTGCTTCCTCAGGTGCTCTTGCCAGGTATTTTGTAGTAACAGTGACAAAAGTAATGGATTCAGGCACCTCAGCAGATTGAAAAGCCTCTGCCCAGCAAAGGAAACTGGAGTGAAGAGACAGCCTGCACAGTGGGAAAATAACTCCAAGGTATACCTCTCGTAAAGGGTTACTACCTAGTAACACAAAGAAATCAAAATTCGAAAATAAATACTCCAGTTTTATAAATGGAGCAGAAAATTCTCAAAAAAGAAATACAAATAAACAAAGCCTTTTTTGTTTTAATTGTCTTGTACCTTTAGCCACCAAGCAACTGCAAATTAAAAGAAATTTGAAATTCCATCTCTGACCAGTAACAGTGGGCATCATCCAGAAGTCAAGTGACAACCAAAGCTGGCCCAGGATGGAAAAGGGAACTCTTACTCTGTTTTAGTGGCAATGTAAATTGGTACAGCCACTGTGGAAATAAGCTTCAGGACTTCTTACAAAACTACACGATAGTAAGGAAATTGAATCAGTACAGATGTCCTGAATGTGCAGAACACTGTCTTAGCTTTTTCTATTGCTGTGAAGAGACACCATGACCACAGCAGCTCTCATGGAGGAAAACATTTAATGGGGCTGGTGCGCTTGCAGCTCAGAGGTTTAGTCCATTGTCCTCATGGTGGGACATGGCAACATGCAGGCAGACATGGTGCTGGAGAAGGAGATGAGGATTCTTAAATCTTGTCATGCAGGCAACAAGAAGTGATCAGTTCTGAGAAACTGGTGTCCTTCAGACTACCACACATACATACCATGGACTTTTGTTCATCCATAAGAGACAGGAAATTACAAAATTTTCAAAAACAAAAGAAATGTAACGGGAAAATACAGTCTTAAGTTAGTTCAGGCTGATAAATACTACATGTGCTCCCATGTTGGAGTCTTTTCTTGTTAGCTTCTAATTTTAAGACATAAGTGTGTTAATTTAGGGATGATTATGTGTAGAGGCTAGGAAAGTGGAAAGGGGTCCATGAGAAGGGGGAAAGGTTCTAAGGGATGGTGATGGCGAGCAGTCGAACTCGTGATATGAAAAGTGGAAAGAACAGTGAGAATGGAAAGGGTTAAGAGGAATAGGGAGGTTTGGGAGAGAATAGGTGAGAGGTAGGATCAACAGAAGGAAAAACTTAAGGAAACCTACTGCTTTATAAGCTATTTAAAGCATAAAATTAAAAAGAAAACTTTCTTTTTAGATTGTAGCAAAGTACTCATCCTATTGACCTGGACCAACAGGTGGTTCTTCAGTGATGGAATGGGAGGAGCAGAGGATGAGAAGTGAGGAAGATAGGAAACCAGGAGCGGGGCTCTTGCATAAGCTGCTGGCTTATGCCAAGCAAGATGATTAAAAGCGCAGCATTGTATATACAGGTTTCAGGGGAGGAGTGGAAAGCTGTCACACAGAGGGAACATGAAGAATCTCAAGAGCATCATAGATCAAGCACGCATCGGCTTTGACACTGTTAGCCCTGCTTCTGTACAGTAGGAAGAGTGGAATATGCCCCCAGCATATTCCAGGCCTTAGAGAAGGAGCTCTGTTCCTCCATACAGCGGGGCCCCAAGTGAGAGCTTCAGTGTCCTGGCCCCAGCCTATTACTGGCTCTGCCAAGCATGTTTCTGAGTTAGAGAAGGAACAATGGAACTGAATTTATCTATCTGCCACCCATAGCCTCATTTCCTGGAAACCACTATTCTAATTTCTGTTTCTATGAATTTGACAATATCTGTCTTTTTTAAATTCCACTTAACATACCATCCTCAAGATTCATCCATTTTCTTGCATGTGTTAGAATTGCATCTTTTTTTAAAGGCAGAATAATAATTCGATGTGTGCATGCCATGTTTTTTTATTTACCTGTCATTTCGCACTTGGATCCTTTCCATTATCTAACTACTATAAATAATGCAGTTTGAGCTTAGCTATCAAAATAATCTCTAACCCCACTATAATGTAAACTTCATGAAAGTTATCATTATTGTATCTCCAGTTTTGTGTCTGGCATGCTGCCCAATACTCGGTAGAGTGTGTGTGTGTGTCCATTTGTTTGTCCTCCATCTGTCCGTGGATGGGTACACTGTGTGTATGTGTGGGACTCAGGTTTAAAACCCAATGCCTTTTTACACCCTGGTCAAGTACTATACTACTGAGCTATATGCCCTGTTGTGGTTCATTCTATTACAGATGGTTCAGAAACCATGAGTGCTACATTCGTCATCTGTCTGAAGTATGGCCATCTACTATAAAATGAGTAGTATCTCTAGTTGAAAGTGGCCCATGCAAGAGCTGGCAACGTGTGCCTTTATTTCTTTATTTCTAGGACTTAGGGCTATGACAAGTCCCAGGGCAAACCTGAGGTTCACCAAAACCCTCTACAAAATGGTGAATGAAAATTCATCACTTGGTGATAATTCTTTATAGCTGAATTCACCTATTTGCAGTTCTGATGGGACTTTCTTAGCATTACGGAATCTCTGTTATAGTGGCCTCCAATCTGATGGAGGCGATTTCTCAGTTGAGGCTCCCTCTTTCCTGATGTGTCAAGTTGACAACCAAGATTAGATCAAAATCCCTAGATACTTTCGTTAGAGTAGTAAACATCCATATTGTCTTTAGAATTTTGAAATTGGTATCAGAGTTCCAGCAAGAAGCAGAAAATACATTCTCAGGATTCTTGAAAGAACTGTAGTGACACTCCTATTTTCAACAGTGGAGAGAAAGAAATCTGAGGATTAGCAGCACAGAGGAAAATGGCTGCTCTGTGACTGAAGTTTCCGGGAGAAGGAGGTTGACTTACAATGAAAGAAAGGATTGGGGGGGGGGGTTGTCTTTCAGCAGGACTCTGTAGAGAGCTCAGCTTCTCCTAATGAGCTCAAAACTAGATGCCCTGACCTCTTCCACATTGTTTCCCTTTGGCGTTGCCTTATGCCATTGCCTATTGGAAAACAACAAGCGTGGCTGCACAGGGTCAGTCTCTAGAGCTTGACAGCGAGGAAAGAAAGACCAAAAATTAGTCTGGATGGTTGAGTTGATCACCAGCTAGATAACTGCCACAGTTATTCTTGCCACTGAAAATGTGGGAAAAAATGTTTTCCCTTTTACTTTAAAAGGGGTCCCCATATTAATGATAGTCCATAATGGAAAAGGGCATTGTTTTGGGTTTTTTTTTTTTTTTTTTGCCACTTTCGTTAAAAGAAAGCTAGGTTTATGTATGGTTCAGAGCCTGTGGAATCTGGCTGCTAAATGACTATCATTTGTAAAAGACATTAAATGTGATTTGAGTAAAGTTTTGCTTTTCCTTTGCAATAATCTTGAATGTGCATGCATTTTAAGGTAATGTGTGATTATGTTTCCCTCCTTAAAGACTACATTACAAAGTCAATCTTTAAGGAACATTTCTTGGATGCCAACCAGAGACTCCAGTCAAACTCTGAAGTATGCTGATTCATTGCCTTCTTCTTCTTCTTAGTTTTCCAAAAGTTTCCAGCATTTCGTATCTCACATGAAAGGAGACAAGATAATTTGTCAGGATGGATCTGAAAAGTGGCATTCAGATGCTTTAGTTTGTAGATGGCACTCTGTCCCTGTTCTGTACTGCAGTTATCTCCCTCGCAGATAATATTCTGGGAGTGCTCAGTTCATGCATAAGCAGAAATGTGACAGAAGCCTGGACTGAAATAGCAGTGGAATTAGCCTGCCATTTAAGCAATGTTTCTAAATAATCTTCCCTGGGTTCACGATGGTCCGTAGTGGGAAGAATGGTGACCTTCATCTTAAACAGATTGCATGTTATAAACGAACAATGGAATTAGCCTGCCATTTAAGCAATGTCTCTAAATAGTCTTCCCTAGGTTCAAGATGGTCCGTAATGGGAAGAATGGTGACCTTCATCTGAAACAGATTGCATATTATAAACGAACAGGCGAATATCATCCGACTACACTGTCAAGTGAGAGAAGCGGCATAAGACGAGCAGCAAAGAAATTTGTCTTCAAAGGTGAAATTAATGTCTAAATCTTAAATAATAGATTATTTCCCATTGTGTGATTGTAGAATCCTGGGAAATTGTCTAGTATTTGGTGACTGCTAAGCAGTTATCAGCTAAATTGAAAGTCATGCTCAAAAGTAACATAATAATCACAGTACAGCTAACCGAAGGCTGGGAAGCATGGGGGAAAAAAAAAAAAAAAACCCGCATCTGGGGCTGGAGAGACAACTCACAACTCAGCAGCAAAAAGAAAAGCGTGTGCAGATCTGCAGGTCAAGTTCAGTTTCCAGCACCCTTGGGCAGCTCACAGCCACCTCTAACTGCAGCTCCAAGGGAATCTGGGCCTCTGGTCTTGGTGTGTTCCAGCACTCACAATGCACATAGTCACACACACAAACATACACATAATTTAAAATAAAAAATAAATATGAAAATAAAATAACCGAATTGTAGCTCAAAAGAAATAACAGTGAAAATTACACAAATTCATTTCTCTTGCTTTTGCCCAGAATTGAGGGAGTCGTTTAATGCTTAGTATGAGAATGCTAACAGTTAACTGGTTTGCTTACTAAAGTAAAAGAATGGAAGAATCTAACTGTTCATAGCTGACTTTACCCACACGCCTGCCCTCCCCACACACTGTACCATTAATTATTCTCAGGATTAAGTTGGTTTTCTTGCCTGACACTCCATCAGTACGTTACATATTTGAGAAGCAGTAGGGCAATTATGGAAGCTTATGACAGCTTTCCGGCCTCCTCTCCCACCCCTGCTCCAATGGAGAAAGCAAACTGAGCACGAGACAATCAAAGGCAGTCAACGGATAACTAAGAAAATGTTAGTGCTATTAATGGCAATTTCGCCTTGAGGTACAGCATTAGCCTTTTTCCAAATAAGGTCAGAATGTAAGGTCATAAATTCTAAAGACATAAATAAATGCCTATTCATGTCTCCCTATACAAATTCCTGTCAGTAACTCCTATTCTTAGCAATAGGCAGACCTCTTACACTAAGGTGGAGGTGCAGTTATTCAGTCATTCATTCATTCATTTATGTTAAAGTGTTGATTGAATTTCTGTGGTGTACCAATCACATTGTAGGCCCTGGGATATAGTAATGAGTAAGATAGGGTTTCAGTTTTCCCGTTGCCTACCTTTGAATGCCTCTGTGCTTATTAATTACCTGGGTATCCTAATGGTGTATTCTGGAGTCTGCGTAGCTGCCCCTTATGAACTGGAGAGATAATTATTCTGCCTGCTCCCTGCTTGTTCCTCCACTTAGATACCCTGGAAGGAAAGGTCTTTAGAGTGCATGGCAGTAGCATTCTGTAAAACTCAAATTAAAAATCTTCATGGTTTTAAGTGAAGGCTATTATGGTCTAAACACTATGGAGCTTGGAAAATTACAGGTTTTTTTTTTTATGTCATTCATTTCAGAAAAAAAGCTGTTTTATGTTGGAAAAGACAGAAAACAAAATCGTTTGGTAGTTGTCTCAGAAGAGGAAAAGAAGAAAGTCCTAAGGGAGTGCCATGAAAACGGCACTGGTGTCCATCATGGCATATCCAGAACTCTCACTCTGGTGGAGTCCAGTTACTACTGGACATCTGTGACCAATGATGTCAAACAGTGGGTATGGCTTGTGGGCTTAGAAATCTTTTTATTGTCTTTCTAATAAATACAGAGGTCTGTATTGCTTAAAATATACTGTGCTTGTCATCTGTGGTGTAGGGTACAGTAACTTTAGTACAGTAACTTTATGTGTTACTGTACTAAGAAAACATTTAAAGATAAATTTATTTCTCTTTATAGTTTTTTTTTAAATCAGTAGAGTATAAATTAAGCTAAGAAAATACAATATTTTAATAGGAAATTATTGAGAATTGGAACATTGAGCTCCGTTTTGCAGGCACAATTCAATTGAGGTTAAAATTCTTTTGCTAATTATTATATCCTTAATGCCATCATGAATGACTTTTTATATGATCAAAATAAATGTGTTCATACGAAACCAATCCCAGTTTGGATTCTCAGCTCTTGTGCCTATTCCAAAGATAGAAAAATGTCAAGTTTCAATGACAGGAACCTAAGCCCAAATTGTAAGTGTGCAATGCATTATTTTACAGCATTCAGTGAAATGAATAGCAAGTGGGTATAATTTGAGAAAAGATGACATTTTGAAAAATGATGTTTATAGCTGGTGAATGCATGTAAGTTGGAGAATGAGAGTGATCATCGAGAATAATGATGACGAGGCATTTCCCAGCTCAATAGCCCACTCCCATTCCAGGAGTGCTGTTCTGTTTCGTAAAACACTGTCTCGGAGGCAGAGGCAGGTGGATCTCTGTGAGTGCGAGACCAGCCTGGTCTACAAGAGCTAGTTCCAGGACAGGCTCCAAAACAATACAGAGAAACCCTGTCTCGAAAAGCCAAAAACAAACAAACAAAACCACAAAAACACTGTCTCTGTCTCTGTTACCATTAAAAAGAATTACTTTAATCACAGTGAGGGCTTATGTTTTTATTTTTGTTTTCAATTATTTGTTTTAGAACTTGGTTTGAAAATAATTTCCAAAGTGAAATTCTGGAAGTGCTTTAAAAATAGCACCAGCTGTAAATTAATCAAATAATCTCTTCCTAAACCACGTATCATGGTTCTCAGCCTTCCTAAAGCTGAAACCCTTTAACATAGCTCCTCATGTGTGGTGACCCCAACCATAACATTGCTTCATTTCTAGTTCATACCTGTTATTTTGCTACTGTTATGAATCATATTGTGAACATCTGATGAGCAGGATATCGGATATGTGATACACCCCCCAAGGGGTCGAGGCCCACAGGCTGAGAAACACTGATTTAAAACTTTATGAGACCTCAATTTTCCCCAGGGCATAGGGAAGTTTCTGGCATCATTAGATATTGTTTGATTAAAATTACAGTTCAGCAAATATTACTAAAATAGAAGAATGAAAGAACTTTAAAATAAAAACTGTAGGAAGAAATGTCATTTGTGTATATAATTTATTGCATGGCTTAAAACTTATAGAAAATGGAATATTTTATGGTAGCCCATTAGATTGTTTTTTATGTTCTTTCTTTTTTTTTTTTTTTTCCAATAGAGTTCTTATATGACCAAACTGGATTTGAATTTACCGTGTTTCCTAGACTCTCACTCTGGCAGCCTTCGGGCGTCAGCATCCTAAATCAAAGGATCATAGATGTGTCAGCACTGCCAGCTGTAGAAATGTTTGGCTGGCATCAATTAAAAATAAAATAATAAGCTTATTCTAAATTCTGTTGGTTTAATATATATTTGAATGTGAACCCAAATTATGCTCCATTTGAACTAGACCCCATTGAGATTATCACTTACTCAGGGTAGTGATAAGGAATTCCTGTATTGTGGATGTGTGACTTACTGGCCACACAGGTGTAGTGACTGATAATTGCTTGTTGTTCTGATTAAAAGGCTTCCTTCAATGGGCTATTCCCAGCCAGTCAACTTCCTTTAAAACACATAGTGTGTGTTGACTAGTTAGGATTTTGCTTTATGAAACTGCTTTATGTTACAGTGAATTTTTTCCTATTCATATGCGTTTTCCTTGTTGTGTGCCTCTCTGTAGGTATATGCCTGTCAGCATTGCCAAGTAGCAAAGAATACACTGCTGGGGGCACCTCAGCAGCACCTGCTCACGGTGGGAAGCCCGTGGAGTGTAGTGACCGCCGATCTGATGGGACCTTTTCATACAAGCGACAGGAGTCATGTGTATGCTATAATCGTGACTGATTTGTTCACAAAATGGGTTATGATTTTGCCTTTATGTGATGTTTCAGCGTCAGAAATTTCTAAAGCTATTATCAATATATTTTTCTTATATGGACCTCCTCAGAAAATAGTAATGGACCAAAGAGATGAATTCATTGAACAGGTAGGTCAGAGTGTTCACATTTGGGAGCAGGTAGCACTCTCAGTCTGGCACACAGTTCTTTGTGCTGTTTAGGGTATTTAATACATTTCAAATAATGTCATACTATTAGATTTAAACTAGTGATTAGGAGAGCAGGATTTTTGATTATTATTACTTTACCACTAAGTAATTGTAAATCTATTTTTTGATGACTTCAAATTGAGATGATTGAACCAAATATTTGTTTACTTCTAGCTTAAGAACAACCAAGTGAGGCTTTGATGGTGCACGCCTTTAATCCCAGCACTCGGGAAGCAGAGGCAGGCAGATCTCTGTGAGTTCAAGGCCAGCCTGATCTACAGAGCGAGTGCCAAGATAGGCTCCAAAGCTACACAGAGAAACCTTGAAACCTTGTCTCAAAAAAAAAACCAAAATAAAAATGTAATAAAATGATATTAGCTAGAGTGAAATAATTATATAACATTTACATCATGTTCAAAATGTAAAGAACAGTTTTCTATGTGCATATTATATATTTATATAGGTAACTATGATAACAGGTATATAAACTGAAATGCTTTAAATGCTACATATTGATAATAACTAAGTCATTCAGTAGTCACACATAATATGTGAGTTACAGTGAGAACAAAGTAGAAAACAGCATATAGAAGTAGATTCCTCATTCATTTATTCATTTCAGCCATTAATTAAATTAATGAATGCAAAATCTACATTTTACCAAGCTACCCATATAGAGTGTTCACATGATTTAAGTATCACATAGTCTCCCACGTAGGAGTGGGTGAGGAGTGGTGCCCAGGTGCCAGCAAAACAGAATCCTGCTTCCTTTCCTACAACCAAAATTGAAACAGAAACTTACTTTGTAGTCAAGTAAAGGAAGTGTAAACTACATAAGGTTGGAAGGAAAGCCCTGAGCATCAGTGGGAACTCAAGCTCCCAGCCTCTGTCTCTGGAGTGTAGCTGTTGGCCTTGTGCTGAAGAGTGGCTGCTGGAGCCCATGTCATAATCTTTATCATGTAGTTAACAAGGGAGGACAGTGGGCAGAAAAGGCTAGTGCTGGCTGAGTTTGGGCATGAATTTCAACTTATGGCTTTCTCTGCCACACCTCTCTCATGTGACCACTTCTACCTTCTAGGGATCTTGGGAAATGTACCGTGTGTGTGTGTGTGTGTGTGTGTGTGTGTGTGTGTGTGTGTGTGTGTGTTAGCTTTCCTTTCCTTCTAATCTGACAGTTATTTGTAGAAAATACTCTTTCAAAGAGAAATTTATCAGCTGAGGGTAAATTAATTAAAATTACAGAAAACATGAGAACATCAAAACAGGAAAATAGTGTTTTACATTTTGTGAGCCTCATTATAAGTGTCCTAAACTCATCCTGAAATCTTTGACATCCTGGCCACAAAAATGATCATGACAACAGCAATAGTAGTTGCAGTTAAATTCTATAAATTCCTTACTCATTGCTGAGAGCTTTTTGATTTCTTACAAGCATTGCTTTGTATGTGCGCCTAGGCAGCCGTGGGTAGGGGTTTTCTCAACTTACAAATGAGGAGACTGAGGACAGAGGCTCAGTGACTGTGCCATGTGACCTAGTGCTTTATTGAAAAACAAAGAGTCTACTGAATTGAAAAGTTACTTGACCGAAAGGTTAGTTTTGACCTCTGCCCTCCCATTTCCTTGCTGTGTATTAGGTGCTTAGACTCCCAAAGCTTAAGCTTGTGTCTTTAAAATGCAGTTAATAATATATCAGAAAGTCACTCTGACCTGCAGTAACAAAAATTACATTTAATGTGATGACCAGCATTTAGAAAGGACCCAGTCAGAAGAGTTTCACCCAAAATGCCTACATACTTCATCTGAATGCCTGTGGTCAGTGGAAAACGAGACTTGGGTTTCTGGAATCTTTTTTAAGCCAGAAGAAAAATATGAACTTTCTGTTTTCCATATTTTTTCAGATAAATACAGAACTGTATAGATTGTTTGGTACAAAACAGATCATAATTTCTCATGCTTCCGGAAGTGTCAGTCCGCCTGAAAGTACATCTAGCACAATCAAAGCCTTTCTCTCCAAACACTGCGCCGACCACCCCAACACCTGGGATGAGCATCTGCCAGCGCTTTCCTTTGCCTTCAATGTGACTCCCTCAGAGCCGACTAAAAACACACCGTATTTCCAAATGTTCAACCGCAATCCTTATGTGGTGGAGTGTCCTCATGACTTGGGTGGGGAAAATACAAGCCTGTTTGCCAGAGTTGTAGCTGCCGTTAGAGAGGCCGATGCAGTGTTAGAGAACAAGACACCATCAGCTGGCCAGGTAATTCTGTCTCCTAGAAGAGCTCTGTGAAGCTCTGCAAAAGAGGGATTATGTTTAAAAATCTCAGCACATGGGCATGTTCACATATGCAGGCATGATATGCCCTTGAGCAAAAAAAAAAAAAAAAAAGGTTTCATCTACCAAGTTCTGCTTATTTTGGTTTCATGATAGTTGTTTACTGTTTGTGTGTGTGTGTGCTTTATGTAGAGTATGTATGTATGTATGTATTGTGCAGGTGCATATGTGTACATGGGTGGAGGCTGGTAATAGACATCCACTGTCTTCCTCACTCTCAACCTTAGTTTTTGAGCCAAGGTCCCTCACTGAAACTGGAGTGCACCTGGATGTGCCAGGCTCACCCCTTGCCCTCAGTTGCTGGAGTTACAGATTATGTAACCATGTCCAGTAGGTGCCGGGAACCTGAACTCAGGTCCTCATGACTCTGTGTGTCAGGCATTTCCCGCTGAACATGTTCCCCAGGCCCTCAATAGTCTATTACAAGCCGTGGCATCCAAAGAGACTGTGGGGAAGCCGGGACTTGGGGAAGGTTGGGTAGACCTCGCCGCTAATGTGCATTCTTAGCAGTGTAGAACTTCATACGCTGTACTTGAAACTAGTGCAGGTACCCAGAACCACTCATTATTAGTTTCTCTGTGGCTTTGGAGGCTGTCCTGGAACTCTCTTTGTAGACCAGGTTGGTCTCAAACTCACAGAGATCCTCCCGCCTCTGCCTCCCGAGGGCTGGGATTAAAGGCGTGCGCCACCACCGCCTGGCCACAGCTCTGCTTTATTTTACCATCTATGTAAAGAGAGAGTATTGATGCTGACTTTAAATACAGGACCAATTAGGATTCAGTCCCTCATTTCAGTAGCAGTAAATACCCACTGCCATAATCTTATCAGTCTATGCATTTAAATTTAATTCCTGTCATATTGTTTTGTTTATTTCCAGATGGAGAACAACAATTTGGAAGAGCCAAACAAGACCAAGACTGTTAAGAAGAAACCAAAGCAGCTAAATCCATTTCATTTAAAAGTGGGTCATGAAGTTTTAAGACAAAGAAAAAACTGGTGGAAAGATGGCCGTTTCCAGTCTGAATGGGTTGGGCCTTGCGTCATAGACTACATAACAGAAAGCGGATGTGCTGTCCTGAGAGATCATACTGGGGCCAGACTGAAAAGACCTATCAAAATGTCTCACCTCAGGCCTTATGTGAGAGAGTCCACCGAGCAAGGTGATTATCTGTAATTTCTCTCTCATGTGTTATTTTTCTCAAGAAGAGAGAGGAGAATCTCAAGCAGACTTCCTTTCCTCCTTTGGTTAAACTGCTTTGCCCTCTAAATTTGATAATGCTTGATAGAGTTCTAGTTCCCCTCTAGATTTGATAATGCTTGATAGAGTTCTAGTTCTCCCCAGTAATTTGATTAGAATGTACTTTTACAAACTCATTTTTTCTTTTTCTTGTTGTTGTTGAAAATGGTTTTTTTCATACAATGTATTCTGATTACCTTTTCCCCTTCTCCAACGCCTCCCAGATCCTCCCCACTTCCCCCCACAACCCACTCTTCCTCTTTTTCTCGTATTAGAAAAGAAGCAGGCATACAGTAATAGTTAAGTAGTGGTATATAAAAGCAAACAAACCAGGGTTTTTGTTTGGACTTCTATTGTACTTTTTATAATTGCTATAAAAATGCTGAACCTGTTTCAAAAAAGGAAAGATTCCATCTCCAGTTTTGCATAAAATTCCACAACTTTCTGCCTCATTTTTATGTGGAAAACAGGAGCTATGATCATTTAGTGTCAAAGACAAACATATTGTCCAGTTCTAATTGTGAGATAAATAGGGTACTTTAAAGATTCACTTTCTTTTAATGTGGCTTCATAATTAGGTCATGGATTGGGAGAGGTAAGGGTGGAGGATAGAGAATACTGAGAATGCTATCAGACTGTAGAATTATGATATTCCCAAGATTATTTTATTTCTTCCTACTGTATTTGTTCCTTCGAGCTTCTCTGAGGCAGATAAATGAAAGGAAGTTACTTGGTAACGTAATTAGAATTATTTTCTAATTATGCTTTTTCTGTAAAGGACACAATACATTGCACCATTTTCATGCATGTGTATCATATGTTTTGCTCATTTTGTACAATGAATATATGCTAGATAGTAATATAGAAACAGAAGAAAAATGATGCACTGTTATTGGAATGCAGCTTACATCAAATGGTGATGCAATATATTTTTAAATATAATAAACAAGTTACTTAATAGAAACAAGTAAGTAACAAGCATAAGCAATGACCTATGCTTATCCTATTCCTTTGTTGAGATACGAAGCCCTTATGGGGCTCTTTAGTATAGTAGTCCTTAACCACTTCTGGTCTGCACCCCAGAGCTCTGTTAAGAGTTCTGGTACTTTTCTTTCTTGTAACGGAACCAGTTGCTCTAGTCTTACCCCGGACTGTTCTAACTCTGAAAACACGGGTAATTTCATCCACCCTGTAAGAAGACAGTACATTCATTCTTGTGTGTCTTCTCACTTCAGAGCCATTTATAGACTCTCCCTTCTACTAGCTAAATAGGGACAAACGGATTGTTTGAGTTCTTTAGTCCCGCCAAGATTTCCTCCTTCACCTTCAAAATGTGTTTCCTTCTCATGGGTTCATATTCATTCATTCATATAAAATTCACATGTAAAATGGTTCTGTGCCAGGATCTTGTTCAGCATTCTTCAGTTTTTTCTTATCAAAGACATCCAGAAAGGGAGTCAATTATTTTCCTTCCCAGGATTTCAGAAACAAGCTGAGAAGACAAGTGTCTAAACAGAAGCAATGTAGCAATGTAAGAAAATTGTAGTGCCACTATTGGTGTGAGCACAGACATTTGAAGTTGATAAATGGATTTATTTTAAAATTCCCTATCAACCGTGCTACAAACTAGTGATTCAATGGTATTTGATCCTGTGTGTGTGTGTGTGTGTGTGTGTGTGTGTGTGTGTGTGTGTGTGTGTGGTGTGTGTGT